GAAAAGGAATCGAGAAAACAAAGAGATTAACAATGAATATCAGATAGACGAGATATAGAAAAAGAGAAAACATTTCCGCGCACAACACAAGGAAAATAACATGAAAATCTAAGAATCACCAGCTTTGCGAATCGCAAATCACATGCAATTCGATCTTATCTATATCGTATGGCAATGTAAAATATCCGTACCATGAATGAGTTCCAGCATATTCTTTCACAGACATTATTTCAACACAATTAACACCCAGTTGTTTACAGTTAAAACGTGAAGTAGGCAAATACGCTCCACAATTTAGTGGTTATGCTCAACGCGATGCACACGAATTTCTCATCGCTCTACTCGATGGTCTACAAGATCAGATAATGAAAACTACTGCTGCTGCATCAGCATTCTCCATCATCGAACAATTGTTCAATATTCAGTTGATCTCCCAGATGACATGTCGTGCCTGTGAAGTAACAGGAAGTGGAACTGAGTCAATAAAGTTTTTGTCACTACCATTGCCAGATAAATCAAATGATCCTATTACGTTATCTAGTTTATTAGATTTATTTGAAAAAGAACTCGATGGACAAATTTATTGTGATTCATGTGGACAGATTGCTCGAGGTCGTCAGAAGACACGTCTCGATATATTACCTCGATCATTATTGTTCAACTCAAACGACATTGTTTCTGAAGAATTTTTTAACAACTTTCTGTTAACAAGAAAGAGAAGGGATTTAAAATTACAACTTTTGTTGGACCTCTTACACCTTTGCTAGACCCAATTTAAAAATGTTTCTTCCCGTGTGGCTAGATATTCGATGTCTGCCCCTTTTTTGAATGCGGTTGTCAAGTACAATGATGCACGCAGGGCTCAAAATCAGCGGTATATGTCTGAAAACGACTTCGTAGCCGAACATCAGTCTTTTATGATGAGATTTAAGTGAACGCAAAACCCTGTGCCTCTTTGTAAAAAGAAGAAACAAAGCAAAGGTTAATCACAGAAGAGATGATTTTTTCATTCACAAAGAGAGATTTTTTAAAGGTATTTACTGTTCGGGTGTTAACTATCACCTTAAAAAAGAGCATTCCATTCAACTCCTGTTCTGATGGAAAATGCCAATGCCACATGTGTCTTTTTTTGCCTGTTCATACTCACCCTCTCTGAAATGACGAGCGCTCAGTGGCTTAATGAGAGAGAAAAGGCGGAGAGAGGCCAGACAATTTAACTGACATTAAAATGAGTTTCTTCTTTACACTTTACGACAAGCACACTGTTCTTAATTTATGGCTCTTTAGCTACAAGGGAAAGGGACACTTTATTGAATTTTCTACAGAAAAAGCGTCATTGAAAATCCTTTCTGATTAAGGCAAAAGTCAGTTTCTTTGAAACGAGTATAAATCGGCGACGACCCAAGCGGAAATAACTTTATTTTATATCAACTAAAAGCACTAAAAAGCTTTGTTTACATGCTGGAAGAGCTTTTCTACTTTTGTTTATTATATGGCTCTTTACCTACAAGGGAAAGAGGTAATTTATTGAAAATGAATATTAAACATATCCCTTGTTATCACACTTGACACAAGCAGCATAGCCAGATTTCTCTCCTTTACCACCACACTTTGAACATCTGGTTACATTAGGTAAAATATAGCCCTTGTTATTGCATCCTGGACAAGCCGCATAGCCAGACTTTTCTCCATTGCCATCACATTTAAAACATTTTGCATACCACGAGTCAATCGTTCCCTTATTGTCACATCCTTCACACGCCGCATAGCCAGATGGTCTTCCTTTTCCACCACATCTATAACAATTGACTTCAGGCATTGTATCGTTCAGTCGCTAGTACCTGTAGAGGAAGAATGTGGCAGTTGATAAAATAGAAAAGAGATTTGGTGTTAACTCGTAATAAGGCACGCTACTATGAGAGAAAAGTTTTTCCCTGTAGTTAAAGATGGCTATCAGTCTAACCAATTATTCTGTGTGAATTTTTGTGTGTCAGTTTAAGGTACATTCTTACCAGTAAGATATGAAAACTAACCTTCCTTAATAGTCGATACTGTACCAGGTCGATACTGTTCTCGTAAGTGATGCTGTTCTTTCGAATGAAAAGGTTTGTTGTTTTCGTGTTGTGAAGTATCACAGAAACATACAACGAAAAAGAAAATAATATGTCTGGTGTTTACGTAGGTTTGACGTTTTTGTGTTGATCAGTAAATAATGAGAGAGAGAAAGAAGCAAACAAGGTTTTGATGAGTTTTTCCTTTCATATCGTCACGCCTCTCCGCTAATGTCGGTGAAAGAAAAGGTGATTCAAAGGGTAAAAGTGTATTCGGATGTATCGAAGATTCAAACAACAACAAGATAGAGAACTACGGTTTTCACCGTTCGAAAGAAAAAATGAAGACGCATTGAACCATATATTACTGATTTTTCTAACCTGGTTTTTGCAAGGTTTTTAGTTGACCTTTTAAAGGACAAACCTATCCTGTAAGTTGTTTACAGTAAATTTTCAATAATCAGGCTAACATTCAAACCGCTAATCGAAGATCTACAAACTGCAAAAGACTCAGATGTTTAAATTTAATTATTTCGGGATAGTACATATTTTAGACGAACCTCTACTACGATTTTCTATCAACTTTTTTGTTTTTGCTTATTATCATGAACAAAAATTTTTCCGACGGTTAGAAAATTGAATAAAAACACTTCGGAAATCATATTAAAAAAATCAGTAATATACAGTTCGATGCGTCTTCATCTTCTCTTTCCAACGGTGAAAGCCACAGTTCTCTATCTTGTTGCTATCAAACGTTATGCAAAAAGTACTTACGAGCATTCATACTACCAGCACATATGCGAAAGCAACTGATCTTATCGAAATTTTATTATTATATATTAGTTGAATATTGATCAAATAGCATAGAAAAATAGAGCGAAAGACGCTCTATCTGTTCATTAAAAGAGAAATGTTTTTGAAGCGCTCCTTAAGAAAATAAAGTACCTCCCTCACTACTTTTGG